TTTTCAGACTTACAGAGGTATGATTTACATACAGTAAAATTAAATCTATTGAGATCTACACTCAGTTCTGTGAATTTGAAAAAAACTCTTAAAATTGTATAACGTCCACCACAATGTGCATATAAAATATTTGTCATAACCTAAAAGTTCCATGACATTTCAGTCTTCTTCTGTCCACCACTCCTTTCTATGGTGACCACTGGTTGATAGGATTTGGATCCTGCAGTTTTACAATTTCCCAGAATTCATAAAAATGAAATAATATAGTGTGCAGTGTTTTGAAAACCACCTGCTTTTACTCACTATTATTTTTTGAGAATCATTCGTGTTACTGCATATATAACCATTACATATTTCAACATTTTTATTACACATTTTAAATTTCTGAATAGACCTGCATTTTCTTTCCAAAACTCTTTTGTTTTCAATAATCTCTACTGCTTAATATTTAGTCTAAATTTTGAAATATTGCAATGTTACTAAATGTTAGAAAATCACATGTTTTATCCCCATTCAGCACTTTTATAATCCAATATATCCTCAAGATTATTATATCATTACCATTATCAAATAAGACCTCTTTCTCTGATTTGAAAACAACTCACTCTATGACTTAATGTTCATAATATGACATATTTATATCATACTATTTTCAAAGAGGATTTGAAGCAGATTATGAGGAGTAAAATATGCATACAGTGAGGCTAATAAAATAGATGTGATAAAGTTTTTCCTAGACCTCTTTATCTTTAAGGTTGTAATAGGTTAATGGTAGTTGTCATCACTCTGTCAAAGAAAAGAAAAAAAAAAAAAAAAGAAAGTTCCTAACCTTCCCTACTAATATAAGGACTTTTAGTGACAGTCAAAGTCACTCCCTGTCATTTCCGGAAGCCCTCATGCAGTTGCTCACATGTAATTAACAAGAAGGTCAGCCAAAGTTATCCTGCAGAGCTTGTCATATTTTCTATTTTTGTTCTGATCTTTAGTCTATGTCAATCTCTATTAACCTCAAACCCACCTGACAAAATCTTATCATTATACCTCTGGCATTTGTTCAATTTAAGAGTCAAAAATCCAGTATGAGTTTTATAGTAAAAAGAAAGGTCAATTATATGACTCTTTGCAGTCAAGGTAAATGGATAATGTTACAACAGTTTTCACTGAAACCTCCCTTGCAATGTTCTCTAGCATCGTTCTAGGATTTATACTTATGCCAGTCTATTTCAATTTACTGGGGAAAATATAGAGAATCAGAAACGAATAAATATCTACCTCTGAGATTATATCCTTTCTCATGAGTTTTCAATATACCCAATATACAAATTTCTTAAATATGTTGTCTTGCTGATAGAGGGTTGCCATTTTCATCTATGTGGAACACTAGCAACCAAAATGGGTACAAGGTAAACATCATCAGGTGAGTTATGGGTTGAGTAAACAGGGAATGCCATTATTATCCTGGGTCTCTAACACTGCAGAAATCAAATTCAAAAGATGGATTTTTATCAAGTCAATCACATTTTTTGCAGATAACTCATTAGCAATATGAAATCAGGTTGCTCTTTCTGTCACACTTATGAAATTATGTTTAAAGCTCATTTATCTGTGATGCCTTGAATACCAAATCTCATAAACTTGTTCTTCAATTTAAACATCTTTCTGAGGCATTTTATAAATGACCATTTAATTTTTTTTACCTCTATGTTGTCTTTATTCAATAGTAGTTACCAGGGTCAATTCCTAACTAACAGCCACAAGAATAATCTTTCCATAAGACCAAGCAATGTAAAATTTTAGGAAACATGGCAAAGTCTATAAAAATTAATCTGTGCTTATAGAAGCTGTTATAATATAGAATTATATGAAAAGGAAAAGAGCAAGTATTAATAATACAATAGAACTTGAGCATGAATAAATTTCTCTGTATGAATGGATAATGCATATGTATATATACATAAATATAAATATATATATATGCATACATATAAACATATAATTTGTAAGTGCACAGATAAAGCCAGAAATATACAATGATATAAGTTTTAGCAAAGTTTACAAAATAGTAACTATAGCAGTTTGAAGATGACAGAATTACAGGTTTTGTACTTTAAGAAAAATTCACTAATAGCTAATACTATCAGAGTACCTCCATTTGTCAGAAAAGTTAGAAAGAAGTGGTCATCTAACCACTTTGCTGTACATCCAAAAATAATACAGACTAATATTAAATTTAAACTATAATTGAAATTTTTTAAAAAGTTATGAAATAATCAAAGTCATAGAATACACATAAAAATCAACTGTCCAAAAGCATATTTAATTCTGTAATTTTTATTAAAAGTAGTGGCTCTCATAAAATTAAAACAACTTTAAAATGAAATTACATTTTCTTAAATAGGAAGAATATAAAATTCTTCATGTTTTATAGAACAAAGATGTGACTAAGCCCTGCCTGATGTATTTGGTTGGACATTGCCCTGTACAGTGACAGGTTGCCAGTTTGATTTCTGATCAGGGAACTTGTCCAGGTGTTAGGATCAATACTTCTCCATCTCTCCCCCCCTTTTTCTCTTTCTCTCTCTAAAAATCAATAAAAATATATTTAGAAAGTTGTTATCTTAACATAACTGGTGTACAAGATATTCTAAGGCAATGCTCTGCAAAATAAATTATGATGAAATTTTACAATCTCATCTGGTAACTTTGGCAATGAGTTAATCTAAAATTAATTTTGTTTATTAGCATTTTGCCTCACTCTTATATTGCTAATGGAACTGTAATGTAGTAGCAGAAAGATTATAGAAATTGAATATTAAATGATGATTAGGGAATGCCTGACATTGAAATACTAAGCAAATCAAAATGTCATATACAGTTACTATATATATTATACAACAATGTTTACCCAATAATTTAAAACATTTCTTTTCTGAAACAATTAAAAAATATCAGTCATAGACTTTGAAGGTTGCTCACCTGGCATCATTACAGGACATATTTCCAAGTACAAGAGAACTGAAAATAATAATGTTTATTTGGCTTTTTTTTTTTTTATGGAAAGTCCCAGTTAGTAGTAGATACCACCCTACTAACACACCTATTTTAGCCAACTTCTGAGATCAAAATAGAGGCACCTGGAGCCAGTGCTTCCAACTCCAACTACCTAACATGATTACTTTGAAACCATTGTTTCTGTCCCATCTCCCACCTCTTTAGGTATTATGTACATACAATAAAATTCTGAGTGTGAGAAATTTTGAGATCTCTATATAGTCTAATAATCACCACCACAATCTATAATAATAAAAGCACAATATGCGAATTTCATGCACCTGGCTTCTAGTTGTATAATAATATTGGACAATCTGGAGAGCCTTAAAAGTGGTGAAGGAAAAATTTAAAAGGTATGAAAATATAATCCCTTTTAAAAATGTTAAAGCAATGATTTATGTTTGACCCTAAGCACGAGTAAGACTAAAGGAGGTTTTGATAGATGTCTTGAAATGGTTCATGGGTTCACATGAAGATGAATGAGAAAACAGGATGCATGTTTCTCTAGAAGACTGGACTTGATCAAGTGATGGCAGAGGCAGAATTTATAAAGAAAAAATTTTCCATAAAATGGACAAGAAATCTCTAAAGCAGTAGCTCTCAGCTGGGAGTAATTTTGTGCCCCATGAGATATTCAGTAGGGTCTGGAGACATTTTGTCACTAGTCTGGATGGGAAAACAAGCACAGACCAGCACCCCACAACAAACAATTATCCAGTTCAAAAATCACAACAGTCCCAAGTTTAAGAAACGGTGGCCTAAATTACCAAAATGTTCAGGAGGGAGACCTGCTACCTTCGGGTTCCTGAGATTTTCCTTTTTACTATCATTACTCTAAGGAGCAGCTTGTTTCGGTACTATTATTGTATAATTCCTCTTTGTGATCTCATGTTCTAGAAACATAAATTTTATTGTGTAAAGTAAGATGTGTATCTATGAGAAGCTAAGCAACATTACAAATTAAAATATACTACAAGTGTAAATTAACTAGGCACCACAAAACTTCAAAGAAAACAAGAGCCTGTATATTTGAGAATTAAGTACACATATTCTGGGCACTTTGAATGCTGGTTCCAACTTTAACATTTCTCATTATGAGACTTGGAACAAAATACTTGGCTTCTGAAAGCTTCCACTCTCTCATCTGCAGAATGAAGATCTATGTTTTAGATAAGAAGTAAGTCAATATTTGAAAGGTGCTTTGAAAATGTTTATCATACAGTATCAGCTATTGTTATTTTATGTTGACACCCAGGCATTCACAGATATTTTTTATAGAAAAGATGGTATTTGAATTGAAGTCATAGGATAGGTAGACTTTATTTTATTTTAAACAGAATATACAGAATGATTTTTATTTTATATATAAAAATACACACACATTCATTCCCATAAATGCCAGGTGCCAGATCACAATATCTGTCATGCCATCATCACCTGTGACAGTCTGCCCCTTTTTAGGTAAGTGGGTGTGGGGTGCACATCATTCAGAAAAGAGTGGGAGAACACTTCTAGCCCTTGGCCTTGACACAGTAGCAGAACTGACCTTATGCGATTGAGAGATGTAGATGTTATTTAGGTGAAAAAATGGCATTCTGTATAAAAATCCAGGCCATATGGAATGAAATACACAGCACCTTCTCCCCCACTCCTGCCCCCTCCCTCTTGCATCTCTTCTCATTATCTTCTTGGGGACTCTACTTCCCTCTAATCTCAAAAGGTGTGTGGACATATCCAATCTGAACCAAGATGCTACCTAATATGGCTTGATTAAGTGGGCTAGGAGAAGATAACATAATAATTATATAATTTTATTTTAGAAAATATTTTTCCACTTTTGACATGTTTATTTTTATTACTAAAGGGAAATAATTTTTGATGTTTTTAAAGTGTTTTAAAAGTTGACTTAGGTGTCAAATACATGATATTTCATGAGAATTAAGAATTAGGCTGGTATAAAAGTCTTGTTATTTACACTATTATGCCAGAAACAAGAAGAAAAAAAAAGCTGCATAGTTTTCAATGTCATGGTGAGTTATTTGATGTCCCAGTATAAGTTTGAGTATATTTTGGAAGGGTAATAATTCTTATGTTAAAGTGAAATCCAAAATAAAGCTGCCTTTGACTTATTTAAATACCGCATAAACATCATAATACATTTTTATGTGGAACATAGAAAGAATTCTACATATATCCTAAGTTGTGGCAGTATAATAAATAGCCAAATGAAATGCCAAGTGCATTCATCTACACACAGGCAATTTAAAAAATAATCGGTCTCAAAAACAAATATTTTTATTCTAGAAAATAAATAAGACTGGAGAGCATAAGCAATTTTCTTCAAGGTTATTCAAAACAATATTTTTAAGGGTAGAATCCTCAGTGTGCAACAAGATTTTCAAACTTGTTGATTCTGTAAATCTTCTGGATTGCTTTCAGGGTCAACAACCATAGCCCTTGAGATAAGGTGATAACATAGACAAACCAATACCTGTCATAGGTAATGCTTTATTTTTTCTAATTCTTCCTTCCAAAAACTCACAGTCCTAGAACATATTGCTTTTTATTCGCTTCTGTACAGTTTCTATGACCTATTATTCACATGAATGAAAAACTGAAAAATCTTTAAGATCCTATTTATATTTGACAACTGTAAACATTTCCAAAAAATTTTTTGACAAAGGAAATGTATAATCTAAACAAAGTCACTGAAGTGAGTATAATGCAAATAAATATGATACAAATGAAAGAAATAACTTTGGACAATGATTTAAGAGAACCCAGGAAGGGGAGGGAGCACTTTTTTATACATGAGTGTATATATAATATATAATATATCTTTTATGTATTAATTTGGTGGGAAACTGCCAATATTTTTTCTTTGATCGCTACAGAGTAGTTGAATCACATGTGTCTTTCTGCTTTAAATGGTCTCAGGATATTTTGAGAGAACAGTTGAAATTGATTTTAGTGCTCTGCCAACATAGCTGTAGTTGAGAAACAGAGTAGAAAATGAATATAAATTAGGTTATTTTGCAAATTGGTAACATCTTCAACATTATCTTCCTCTTCCTAATGGATTTAAATTAGAAACACTAATGACTATATTAGCATATTTTGTGCTCAGTAGGAGACACGATAGAAGGTACATTTGGAGAGAGATAAACAGTTGAATATCATTAGCAGCAAAATCAAAATAATATTTCACTGAAAATATTGAGTTCTAAAAAAATGTCAAATGCATGTCAGAAATATTTAAATAAATGTATGAGGTAGTTATAAACCATGCTAAAATGAAGAACTTATTGAAAAGCATAATTTTCTTTCTATCATTTTTTCCCAAAAGTCTATTCTATGATTCATTCTCAAATGAACTCTGCTATGTCTTGTGTTAGAAAAATATTATCTTATACATATTTACTCATCTGGTCTACAAATAAAGTTTTCGGTGCTATTTCGGTAGAAATAATTTGCTTATATTTATTTCTCTGTTTTCTTTTATATGGTCTTTTTATATTGAAAAAATGGAATAAGAACTGGTAAAGTCAAAGCATGTTTGGTAACTCAAACAGAAATATTCTCAATGGATATTTCATGACATGCACAAACAGGGAAATTTCAAAGAACATAAATGCAGCTAATACTGCTCAAGAGACTAGAGCTAGGAATAGGAAAATCAGAAACTGAAGCTGCTTTTTCTCAGGGACTATATGATCTGTATTTCTGCTTTTTTTGCAGGCCTGCTGCTTTCCTTCCTTTCTCTTTCTCTCTTTCTCTTTTTCTCTCCTTCTCTCTCTCCCTTTCTTCCTTCCTTCCTTCTTTCCTTTTTTTTTTTTTTTTGTCCTATAGAGTGGTTTTTTTTTTGTCTAAACACTATAGACCTTACACATCCAAGCATGTAACCAACATGCTTTATAAGTTCAGCTTAATGCTAACTGCCCAGAGTTCTGGTATACCACAGGTTTCAATTGCCTGGAACAAAAAGCATTAATTCAGATCAACTCTCTGTCTTCTGAGAGCTGAGTGTTAAACTTGACCCACTCTACTGACATAACCACCAAATACGCAATGCCATGAAGCAGGATCATTCATTCATGCAATAAATATTTGTACTTACTGGTAGATAAACACTGTGACCAATGCAGAAAAGACAGTTTTTTATATCACTATCTACACAGTTTAGTGGAATAGAGTTTTTCAAATAATCATGCTACTTAATGTATAATTAATTAACTGAGCAAAATCCAGAAGGAAAGTCTGAGTTTTCCATGAGAAAGTCCGCAGTTTTCTGAGAGTACATGACAAAGGAAATTCGTCTAGTTTGAAAGGTAAGGAAAAGGTTTTCTGAGGTAGGGAAGTTTATAGATATTTTGGAAAGAATTAATAGAAGTTCATCAAGTTAAGAAAGAAACAGAAGGTAGCAGAATATTTCTCTAGTGAAGTTATTCGAATTTACCATTTACAACCACCACCAGTGAGTTTCCATTTCTCTACATCTTCATTCATATTTAAAGTGGGTAGAATTTTTTATTTTTGCCAATCTGATATGTATGGAACAATATATATTTTTAATTTATATTTGTATGGTTGTGTGTCATATTGAACATTTATTTTATATTTATCTTTGAATATTAAAACATGATTTACAATTTAAAAAATTGTTAACAAAATCGACATTTACTAGTTGAGGTTATTAAACAAATTATAACAATTATAAAATACTATGCAGTTGTTCAAAAAACAAGATACAACTTTAAGCCCTATGAGGAATATATTGACTAGACAAAGTGGTGCTACAAAGTAAAGGCCCAGTACATAATGAAGACTATGAACTCATTTAAGTACATATAAATATACTCATATAAATGTTAGAAAGTCTTAGAAGGATATAGTCCATGAGTAAGTAGTGATGTTTATTGGCAAGAGAAATCCATTTAGTTTGAAATGGCTTCTTAATCTTTTCTCTATATTATTTTTTTAAATATATGAGTGACGTAATGAGTTGTCACATTTATAACTTAAAATAATAATTAGAATAAAGAGAAATAAGTATTTCTTTTTAATTCTATTACATTTATTGGGTGACACTGACTAATAAGATTATATAGGTTTCAAGTCCTGGCAAGTATTCTCAGTGGTTAGAGCACATGTGTCAAACACAAGGCCCGCGGGCCAAATCCGTCCCGCCAGGCCTTGCAATGTGGCCCGCACCTCGCTGTCATCACTGCACTCCGCTGCGTTTCCATCACAATGACAGTTTATGACTGTTCAGTAAACCATTCGGCCCGCGATTTAGGCTGGATTTTAGATTTTGGCCCCTTCTCTGATTGAGTTCGACACCCCTGGGTTAGAGCATTGGCCTGTGCACAGGAGGGTATCAGGTTTGATTCCCAATCAAGGGCACATACCTGGGTTGCAGGTTTGATACTTGGTCCTGGTAGAGGCTCAGAGGCTTATACAGGAGGCAGCCAATCAATGTGTCTCTCATATAGATGTTTCTCTCTCTCTCTCTCTCCACCTTTCCCTTTCTCCCTTTTATTCAATCTAATAGACAATGGAAAAAAATATCCTAGGGTGAGGATTAACAAGCCAAAAGATTATAAAAGTTTCAAGTATATAATTTTATGTACATCTGTGCATTTCATTGTGTGTTCACCAACCAAAGTCAAGTTTCCTTCCATCACCATTTATTTGATCCCCGTTACTCTCTTCTATTGCCTCCTTAATCCCTCTTACCCTCTAGTAACCACCTTAGTGTTGTCTGTGACTATGAGGTTTCTGTTAAAGGTAGCAACAGGATAAGAAAGAGGAAAACTTCAGCTTTGCTATTTAATTGTTCTATACTCACATTCTTATATAGATAAACAAGGTACTAGTAGCCCATCACGCGATATCACGCGCAGTAGGCCGGGAACCGCAGCATACCGCCAGGAGCCACGCTGCTTTATGGGAGCCCTGCAGCTTCCGCAGGAGGAGGGAGCTGCGCTGGTTCCATGGGAGGCAGGCCCACATCTCCTCTCCTGGCCTGCACTCGGCCGTGAAGCTGCAGGCCAGCCTCGCTGTCCCCCAGAGGCCCTCCATGACCAAGGGGTCACCATAGCAATGAAGCAAACATCCTGCCCCAGCAGACCCAGTCCTGCTGCCCAGAGGCCCTTTGTCACCATGGCAATGAATAAATAAAATAAATAAAACTAGAAGCACAGTGCATAAAATTCTGCACAGGTAGGGTCCCTAGTGGCTTCTTCCCCTGCTGGTTGCCAGCTGGGCCTTCCTTCATTTTTCACTGGCCCCTGGTGGTCATCTCACATCATAGCGAGCAATCAAACTCCCAGTTGGTCAAATTCTCGAGGGAACACTTTGCATAGTAGGCTTTTATATAAATACCTTCAAGCATCCTTATTAGAATCTCTCATTTACCTAAGTAAAATTATTAGCTGGTCAATGTTCTTGGATACTGCTACTATTATATTTGTATATCTTAAGCTCTCAAAATTCCAGAGAATATATTTACATACTACATATGTGTCTTTACTGATAGAAACATATTCCTTCATAAAAGCAAAGGAAAAATTAGTGGAGTTTTATTATTTAATTTCATAATCATTACTATTGTGTTGTTGGCATCTGTCTTAATTGAACCACTTTTTATATGATAATCTTACCCAAGTGTGTATGCCTAATGGCATGACACAACCTATTTAAAGCCAATTAATTGGACTGCAAAATCTTATTCCCGAGAATTTCACATTTCACATCACACACCTCGGATATATTTCACCTCTTTGTGATCAATAGTTTGTGAAACTAAAAATGAGCATTAAAATGCACATAAGCATCTTTATTTCTAATAAATTTCAGGTGAGATATGTATAATATTTAATAAGTACATATTTCATAATTTATATTTAATAAGTTGTAATATTAAATGTACTTCTATTAGTTTGTCAATATAA